TCAAGTAATTTATTTTTACGGATAAAAAACAAAACTTAGAAATCAAGGAATAACATCATATATTTATTTCATGTTTTGGTACACAGCCGAAATTTTGGTTGGTTAGATGAATTAATGTCGATCGTGGAATCGGTATTAATGTTTTACATAGCAATACCAGTAGCATCAGCATTAGGAAAAATCTTGTTACAAACAACTCCTAGCGCAGCATCGAAAAGTTTAGATGATTGTTTGCGTGAGGTATTTATTAATTATGCAATACTAACAAATGAAAATAATAATCTTTATTTTTATTTTATTATTTTTATTTATTTTTATTTATTATTTATTTATTATTTATTTATTTCTTTATTTATTTTGCTTTAGATTCTACTTCATCCAACAATTCTTTCATTGAATGCTACACATTTCTGGCAAAACTCGTATGGACAATTAGTTGGAACACTTCATGTGCATGTAAATCCAGATGTTAATGAACAAACTGTTTTGGCATTTGTATATTCTAGGTTAAGTCCACTATTTGTAAATAGTAATGGTAATGGGGAATTGACAGTGCAGATTGTAAAGTAATCCGTTCTTTCGTTGCATTTCATTTCTTTAGAATTATAATAATTTAAACAATAATACATTATATATAATAATAATTTTAATTGAGAAAAGATCGTATGTTAATAAACGAGATTGCAGGATTGTTACTATATAGAACAAATAGAAACCAGAATTAAAAACATGAGAGAAATAAACCTAGATTTGGTAATAAGCTCCACTATCTTGTTATAATAAGTAATAATTCTTGTATAAATGTGAAAGTGATTACCATATAAGAATTATCCTACATAGTAGAATGATGAATATTTTCTACAAGTATTCTTTAACAAACCTCTAGTGTACTATCGGATTTTCCAAATATTTTCCGCGTTATCTAAACCTTTTCCACGCTTTTTTCACGTGTAATTTAAAATTATTAAAAAACACTTGGAAAAGTTGCATAATACACCAAAGATTTTTGAAAGAATACTTATAGAAGAGAATTAATGTTTTACTTGTGCTATAATCTAAAACCTAACCCAAAGTGGTAACAAATATTAAAAAATTCGTTCTTACTATGCTTATAAGTATTATTATAAAAATTTACTCTATACCAGATACGTAAAATCAATGACAAGCATTATTTTAACTAGATAGATGCCAATTTCATAGAAGATAGCGATAGCGTTATTTCTGATCTTAAAATTTGATTGGATGATCTGCCGAATTCTGGTGCCACCAATAATATCTATTCTGTCTCTTGAAACGCATTAATTAACATGGACGAACCTCAACTATCTCAACTAACACAAAACTCTGGAAATACGTTTGAAACATGTGTTATAAACACAGCGACCTTAGAAGAACACGATCTTTATACGCAATCAGTCCCTGACACGAGCGGGCAGGAAATTTTGTTAGCATTCTTATCAGACTCTTTACCAGCCCAAAAAGATTTAGTGAATAATGACTGGTGTAAGGATTACCTAAATCGACTTACATCACTATCCTTAGAATCACTTAAACACGAACCGATGCTAGTAGATGATGAACAATCGAAAATACAAAAAGAGTTAGCAGAGCTTTCTTTTCGAGAATACAAGTCGTGTATTCACGCTAATGCATGTTCAACTGAAATCAACTCTTCTCTCGATAACTTAAATTTGCATTTATCGACATTGACATCCACAATTCCGTTATTAGAAAATTCATGTACGTCCTTTTTACAACAAACAAATCAGATTATTCAACAACGTGGCAAGATCAATACAATTCTGGAATGTCACGATAATTTACTTGAAATTTTAGACATCCCACAATTAATAGATACATGTGTTCGAAATGGTCTTTATTCTGAAGCAATGGATCTGTCTGCTCATGTTGCGAGACTAGTCTCAAGGTATTCTACAATCCCGCTAATTCAACATATTGAACGAGATGTGAAACAGACGATGCAGCTCATGTTATCAAAGTTAATAACTCTCTTGAGCCAACCAATTAAATTACCAAGTTGTCTAAAAGTAATTGGCTATCTGAGGCGTATGGAGGCGTTTGATGAGGCTGAATTAAGACTAGTATTTTTGCTTTCCAGAGACGCATACTTGCGATCATTAATCTGTACTATTGATAATGAAAAAAAGGATCCTGTTTATTACTTGAAAAAGTACATTGACATATTTAGAGAAAATTTTTTCGATATTGTTACACAGTATCGTTCTATATTTTCTGATGAAGGTGGTGCTTTAGCATCGACACCTTTATATTCATCACTTATGATGCCTCCTACGCCATCATCACCTTGGATATCTTCTTCTTCGCTATCGGACATAAATACTAATTCTTTAGGAAGGCGTACTATGACAGCAGCAACAGCCATTTCTGATTATACAATTCATATTCTTGGACAATTAACATCAGTACTTGCGGAATTTACTCCTTTAATTTCTGATACATCATCTCTTTCATCTATATTAACACAACTTATGTACTGTGGAATGTCACTTGGAAGAGTTGGTGTTGATTTTCGACATCTTGTTACAGGATATTTTGAGACAGCTGTTGACCGGATAATAAGAAAGATGATCACAGACGGAACACAAGAATTCTGCGACGATTTGAAACAGGCTATTAAAAATGTTGACCTGCCTAGTTCGTGGATGATTGGTGATAAGAAATCATCAAACTTATCGGATTTACGTCCATCATTAGTTTCATCTTCATCGACACCTACAACTTCTTCATTCACTCCTTTAATTATTCTATTGGATTACCCACCACTTGCTTATTTAACAAATGCTTATTTGGCGGCTTTTAATTCCTTACGCTTAGTAGCTCCGTTATCTTTGTTTCATCCACTTGGAAAACACATTTCTCAAAGTCTTATGCTTATCACTGATTTATTACACGAATATGGTGATACTCTTGTTAAGCATGACCATGATATTACCGTGCTACAAGGATTTAACGCGACTTTTGCTCAAAGTTTTGTACCTTTTATCTCAAGATGTTTTGTTGAAGGTGTTTATGGAGGATTGATGGACGGAGATGGTGTAAATCATCCTGAGATTATTGATAAATCTAAAATTTTGGATACTCTTAAAGACTTTTTACCCACTCCAAGAGTCTCCTCCTTTAATTTAACAGACGACGACAAGTCAAGTAATGATGCACCAAAAAATGATATTGTCATAGACGAAACTAATAATACCAACGAAGAATAGCCAAATAGACCTCTTATAATATACAGTATAATAATTTTATTAGTAATAATTAATGATAAATACTTTATAATATTATAATTCAATTTTTTTAAAAATGAAATTTAACAATTATGTTATTAGCAATATTTGCTAATTATATTTTAAAAAAATAAGTAGAACTAAAAAAAAAAATTTGTAAAACAATTTTTAATAAAATATCGACTTGGGATATAACAAATCTTTTTATAATGAACCTACTCTTTAAAAAATTTATTATAGGGTTCGGTATAGAAACATAGTAAATCACTCTATAAGGAACTTAAAATGTTTACTATAAAGAGTTTACTATAGTTGTGGCCATGCGAGTAGAATTAATGTATATACATATTACAGTATTAATAATAGTTTGGTGATTTTAACATAGAAATTTTCTTAACATTAAGATGAAGTTTAACCTTTTATCATTAATAGTATTATGTAACATATGGGCTTCCGTCAATAGAAATCAGGCAGATCTACATTTGAAAAAAAATTACTACCTTAAATTTCACAGCTCATA